CTGCAGGAGAGTTCCTTTTTCTCCACACCCTCGCCAACATTTGTTGTTGCTAGTTTTTTTAAAATGTGCCATTCTCACTGGTGTTAGATGGTATCTCATGGTAGTTTTGATTTGCGTTTCCCTGATGACAAGTGATGTTGAACATTTTTTCATATGCCTGTTGGCCATTTGCATTTCCTCTTCAGAGAAGTTTCTTTTTAGCTCTTCTGCCCGTTTTTTGACAGGATTATTTTCTTTGTTGTTGTTGAGTCTCATCAGCTCTGCAGATTTTTGTGATCAGTCCTTTATCATTAGTGTTGTCTGCAAAAATGTTCTCCCAGTCAGTGGGGTTTCTCTTAGTTTTTGTTATTGTCTCTTTTGCTGTGCAGAAGCTCTTTAATTTGATGTAGTCCCAGCTGTTTATCTTTGCCTTCACTATCACTGCTTTGGGTGATGTGTCTGTAAAGATGTCTTTGATGTGCATATCCCGTAGTTAAACTGATCTCTTTTAAACTTTTTTATTGTGAAGTATGGCATACATAGAGGGAAAGTTCAAATAACATAAATGTATGTCTTAATGAATGATCACAAAATGAACGTCTATGTAACCATAACAAGAAGCACTATAGTGCAAAAACCTGTAAATTTAGCTCCTCACATGCCTCCCCCAGCACTCCTCCCTCAACAGTTTTTATGGTAATTATTTCTCACTTTTCTTTACAGTTTTACCAGTTACCATCATCAAACACTGTACTTTAGTTGAGCTTTAGGTAAATAAAACACAGAGTATGTATTCTTTCTTGTCTGGTTTCTTTAGCTCAACATTTATTTGTGAGATTCACAACTGTGTATAGCTATTTATTTTATTACTGGGTAGCACTCCATCTTATAGTTATGTCAGAAGTATCCATTTACTGAGTATAAAATTCTAAGTCAATATTCTCTTTCAGTCCCTTAAAAAGGTGTTCAACTGATTTCTGGTTTCCATTATATCTGTTGAGAAGACAGCTGTCAGTTAATTGCTGTTTATCTGAAGGTAATCTTTTTTCCCCCTCTGCTTTTAAGATTCTTCTCTTTGTTTTTAATTTTCAGCAGTTTAACAGTGATTATTTATAGGTATAGGCTTCTTTGCTATTTCTTTGGCTTGCAGTTCATATTACTTCTAAAATCTACACACTGATGCTCTTCATCATTTTTAGAAAGTTCTAAGCTATTTTCTCTTCAAATATTGCTTTTGTTCCATCCTCTTTCTTTTGACTTCCTAGAAGTTTAAATTTATGTATTAGACCTTGACAAGTTATTTTCTGTCTTTCTTTAGTTTTTCCATCCTTTGTCTCTTATTATTTTCTTCTAATATCCCTCAGTTCACTAATTCTCTCTTTAGAGGTGTCTAATCTCTTTAAAAATCATCCATATGAATTCATTTCAGTTACTAAATTTCTCATTTCTAGAATTTTCATCAGTGCTCTGCTAAAATTTTGTCTAGTTTTTTATTTCCTTGCACATAGAATAGTTATTTTAAAAGTCACAAGAATTCTAATATTTGGAGGCCTAACTTCTATCATCTTTTGTTTATTTTTCTTCATGTTGTTTATGATCCAGTGTATCTGGTTACTTGTCATTATAAGCCAGACATTGTATTTGCAATCTATAGAAATAATTTGTGGCCTTGCATGATGGCCTTCCTTCCAGGAAGGAGCTATAGTTCTGCCAGATACCTTGGGGCACTAACATTTTGGGAACCCTCCATCTAATTTTAGAGAATGACAAGATTGAAAGCTGATCCGCAGCCTCTGTGAAAGCAGGGCTACTTTTAGTTAACCCTTGATCCTATGGCGTAGCCCTTCAAGGTCCCACACAAAATGCAGCGTGTTCTGTGGGTATCCCCTCTTTTGGGGTTATGGCTTTAATCTCTGCCCCCCATTATTTCCAACAGCCTGTCAAAATGGCTGCATAGCTGTTTAACAGCTCCCTCCAGAAAAGGCTAGTATCTCCAGAGGAACAGTGAGCCCATACATCTATTCTACTAGGCCTCCATTCTCCCCCTGCATCTTGTAAGCTCTTTGATGCCTTAGGCAAAAAAATGTGTTGATTCAAAAGACCTAATCTGCCACTACTGGAAGTAAAAGCCCCAGATTTTATCAACATTTTCACCAGTTTCATTGCTCACCATTGTTTCCTGCATTCACTGCTTCTGTGGGTTCAGTTTGCCTCAGTTTCAAGTAGATCCTGCTTCACATTCTCCCAGGAAGCATCTATGAGTAGTTAATTCTATCAGCCTTTGCCTTCATTCACCTTTCACCCTTATTCCTGAATGAGAATTAAGTTGTGTATAAAAATTTAAGTTGGGGCCTCCCCGGTGGCGCAGCGGTTGAGCGCGGGGATGCAAAGCTGCCTGCAGCCTCTGCAGCGCAGGTTCGATCCCCAGGCGCCAGGCGAGGGTCCCACATGGTGCTGGTGCGGAGACCTCTCCTGCCATGCCCGCTGCTCCCCTCAGCAGTGTATTTCATCAGTCTGCCTGTTCTGTTTCCCGCTCTGGCTCTGGTGAATTCTCTCACCCTCCCATACTTCTGACTGTACCCCAGTGCTTGTATAAATAAATAAATAAATCTTTTAAAAAAATTTAAGTTGAGGGTTATTTTCATTTATCTCTGTAAAAACAGAAGCACTGTTTTCTGATCTGTTTGCTGTTGTGGAGTAGTTTGCAGTCAACAAATTGGATTTCTTTCCTTGGTTATTAAGATGTTTCTTAATATTGTTTCTTTTTTTTCCCTTTGGCATGCTCTTATTTCACAATGTATCCAGAAAGACATTTAATTTTTTATTTGTCCTATTTGGGCTTATGGTGCTACCTGAATCTTAGTGTTTATTTTTCTGTATCAATTCTAGAAAATTCTCAGTCATTTTATCTTTGAATATTGTTTCTACATTCTTCTATTTGGACTCTTATTTTAACTCATCTCAATTTCTACTTCATAGTTTACATTTCTTTCTCTCTCCTGATCTACATTTTGGGTAATATTTTTTAGGTCTAGTCTTCTATTTATCACTTCGTTCTTCAATTTAAACTACTGACTTACCTTTAACTTGGTTGCTGAGTTTTAAATTTTGAAATTTTCCATTTATTGAAGCTATTTTAACTTCCCCTATGAGAATCTATTGTGGTCTGGGTTGTTGAAGCATCCCTTAGGGTTCACTTACATGTAACAACCCTATGGGATCATTAGCCAAGGATTCATTTTTCAATTAATTTCTCAGCTTGGGGTTTCCACACTACGTGTGTGTGTGTGTGTGTGTGTGTGTGTGTGTGGGCACGCATGCAGACTACACATATATGTGTTTGTGTATTCAAATTCTGAACTAACATGAGTCAACGATCCATGGTTTAGAATTCCCAAGGGAGGTTCTCCACTTCCCAGTCCAGAACTCAGACAGATAGTTAAATGTTCTTGTTATTTCTCTGTGCTTATAAGCCCATATTTTCTAGCCCATTCTTCACTGAGGACACAACTTCTTAGAAGGTTCCAGTTCTTAGTCCACACATTAGGTGGGCTCAAAGACTTATTCTACCCCTCACTGGGTGCTGTCACCCAAACTCATATATTACCAAAACTAAAAGCTGCAGTTCCTATCTTTGCTGCTCTAATTTTCAGTTTTCTTTTCATTTCTAGAGAGATCTTTTTCTTTCCAGAGAACCCAATTACATATTTTAAATGATTTTAGTTATTTTTTACCCTGTATTTGATGGTATTTATAGAAGGAACTTTTTCAGGTTACCTAGTCTACTGTATTGTTAGGACCAGAAATCCCATGGCACTTTTCAAAACCTGTCTGTTAATGAAATAAATGTATTAATATTAGTGTGTTAGTCAGGATCTTCCAGAGAAAGCAAACCAATGAGTTGCATCAAAAAGGTGAGCAGGGCCTCCCATGTGGCGCAGCGGTTGAGCGCTGGTTTGCGAAGCTGCCGGCAGCATCTGCAGCGCCCCAGCTACTCCCCAGCCACCAGAGGAGGGTCCCACATGGCGTGCAGCCCTCTCCTGCCGTCCGCTGCTGCCCTCAGCAGTGTACTTCGGTCCTTCTGCCTGCTCTGCAACCCGCTCTGGCTCTGGTGAATTCTCTCACCCTCCCGTGCTTCTGACTGTACCCAGTGCTTGTATAAATAAATAAATAAAATCTTAAAAAAAGGCGAGCAAGCTTGAGACACAGAAACAGTTAATATTTCATTTTGAGTTGGAAAGTGGAAGAAAACTGATATCCCAGCCCAAGGCAGTCGGGCAGTGGGAACTTTCACTGCAGGGAGGGTTAATTTTTCTGTTCAACTTAGACCTTCTACTGATTGGGTGTGGCTCACCTACTTTAGTGAAAGCAATCAGCTTTACTCAGTCAACTGACTCAAATGACAATTTCATCCAGAAATACCCTCACAAACACACCAAAATAAAGTTTAGCCAAAGCCTGGGTACCCTGTGGAACAGTCAAACTGACACATAAAATTAACCACCGCAATTAGTACACTCTGGTTTGACTTTTAATGGAATTTTTTTTTCTAAGACTAAATCAAGCTTTCCTTTGAGACCTAACAAGTTATACCTGTCACTTTACAACTGAACTGAACCAGTGGTGAGTAAGCTGGCTTTCTGCACCTGGACCTAACATACATATAAGTCTACAAGTCATTTCATAGATGCAATTTCCCCCTTTTCCAAAGGATAAGTGAGTTCAAGTTTCTGGAAGTAATGTGGAATAAAAATGTCACTTGAAAACATATTCATGATTCTCATTTCACAAAACCCTTGACTTATACAATCATCTATCTTTGTATTATGAACATGTGGTAATGACATCTGCCCACATCATGTAAATCCCTTTAATCCCTGGTTCACTGACATACGTAAACTAGTAATAAATAAATTATTTCAAATATAGATCACAGTCACAAGTTTCTACCTTAACTCTGTTGTTTCCTTCATCATATAAGTGACGAAATTTTTATTAAATTGTACTTATATTAACATTACCCTCCTTTGTTCCTCTTCAGCATCAGCAAAGAGTTTACGAATGTTGGCCTCTGACTCTCCCACATATTTGTTAAGGATTTCCGGCCCATTGACCACTTTGGGCTCTCTTGCATTCAGCATCTTGCCAATCTGTCGGGCCAAGAGAGTTTTACCACAACCTGGAGGCCCATATAACAGGATGCCTTTAACATGTTTGCAACCTAAAAAGAAAAAGAAAAGAGGCTTGTATCAACTAACTAAAATCCAAGCAAGACACCTACAGGAAAGTTTTCCTTTTTCTTCATATCCACTTCTGGAAAAACACAGAGATGCCATTAACATGTATTAATATCCAGGTGCAATGAACAGATCAAAAATGAACTAAAGTCCTTTTTGTAACAGAAACTCCACACACAATTTCTATACCACTACTAATATTTGAGGGCGGGGATGAGAAGATGCCAATGAAAGGTCTCTGGAAAAGTCTATTTGAACTATCATTTAGGACAAATACTTTTCATTCTGAAAATGTTTCTTTTGCTTAAATGCTTAGCAACTATTACTTGCTTTTCTTTATCCTTCACTCTAAACTTAGGGAGAAAAAGAAATCTATTTTTAGGCAAATTTAACCTAAAACAAATCTATGATGATATAATCAGCTATGGAAACTATGTCTTAGTCATATAAATCACAGGTTTGCTTGTCAATACAAGCACTTGAAGAAAGGGCCAACATGTCTGAGAGGGATGGGTACAGAGAAGGTGCAGGATGCAGAGGGATGTTAAGACTGTGGATCAAGTTGAATGTCCTGCTTCATGTGACTAATGCCAAGTCAGGCACATGTGTTCTCAGCGCCACCCAGATGAAGATGAACTTTCAAAAGAATAGTATTTGATTCTTTTCTAGGTGAGCATTGCTAAATGCCTTAAAGGTATCATTAGCAATTGCAAAGTAGCAAGATGGATGATCTACACTCCCCAGGATTTCTTCAGCGACTGCTAAAGAACACTTACTCCACTTCTGAAGAGTAAGATGGCCTGTGGCTTCTGCGAATTCACTGGGAATTCTCACCTTTCTAACAGTTTCACAGTTAAGATATATAACTTTTGCTTATGAGTTTTTTCTCCATACCAAAGAAGCACTCTGTGAAATGATGAATTATTTGATTTCAGTGTTATACTCAAAGCTACAGGTGAAAGACAGTTTCTAGAAATGGAATATAAAAAGTGGGTTTCTATGGAAAAGAGTTTGCCTTCATTGGGAATGAGAGCCTTAAAAATTATGTATTTAAGAAAATATTATGTCAACAAATTCAGTAACTCACATTAAAACAATCATAAGACACAACCAACTCTACTGGAAAATTTAGATTTTGAGGAGGAAGATCCTTTGGGTTGCCAGTATGGTCACTGCTTTTATTTTTATGTCAAAGAAGACTCTCTCTTAAATCCTTGAAAGTAATGAGATCTGTGCTTCTGGTTAGACAAGAGGGAATTGGCTTGTGTAGGGATTAGAATCTTAATTCTCTTCAATTCAGAGTAAATTCCTCTCCCAAGAACCAAGGCCTCATAAAATGTCTTTGCCCTTGACTATCCTTGAGGGAGATAAGGAGAGAAGCCTTAAGCTTCCCCTGTAGTCCTATAAAGTACCAGGCCTTATTCTCACCTCCAATTTCTTAACATTCTCCCAGTTTTCAACTTCTTCCTAACCACATTTCCTTCAATATTAAGCGATATCTTCTTCCAAGGACACTCAACTCCTTGGCCTTCCACCCTACAAGCCCTGAACACAATACAGCATTATGGACCTACCCACTGGCCACGGAGTCCAGCCAGAGAAAATTACACCATTGCATGGGCTGAGATCCTCACAATTTCATGCTATCCAGTTTCAGTTCTATTCTCACTGTTTTCTTAATTCTGCATGCTACCTCTTGTTTTTGTAAGTTCATCTCCCATTCTCTTTGGTAATGATTATCAGATCTTCACCACTCATCTCTTCTCAAGTGCTACCATGCGCCATTAATTCGTAGAGATGACCTAGATCCATACTTTCCACATTGGGGGAATGAAAAAAGGGACTAGCAAGAGACCTAAACTCCTTTTAGTTTCCTATCTACAAATTTCTCAGCAGACACATTCATTCTCAACCTTCACATCAACTCTCAAAGGAAGGGTTTTCTTCAAGGTCTGAGTAGCAATGATTTGTTTATATACCTTTTCTATTAGATTGTAAACTACTCAAGAGCAGGTACTGTTTCATCAATCCTGAATTGCAAACAGCACAAGACTAGCATGTAATATGCCCTCAGTAAATAGCTGAATAAGTAAAGTGTTGATTTCCTTCCTATAAAACACAAAGAGAATGAGGGAAAGAAGACCATTTTAAGAAATTACTGGAAGATCTTAATTTATGGAACAGTGTTTCTTTCATAGCTGAACTAATCGAAACACCTAAAAACACATTTGTAATAACTAGGACTTTGCAAATTTAGCAAAACAAATTACATTATAAATACTAGAATCTTGATTTTATAACTATTTTTATATATGGAGAAGGCTTGATTTCATGTTTTGAATTAATTGCCTCAGCTCTCATAAAATAAACAATTCACAAATTTTTACCGTGAAGTTTAACAGAAAAATAGATGAAACTTACATATAATATAGATCTCTGAAATGACAAAATCTACTCAATATAACATCAATAAGAATATCATAGCAGCTCTAGTCTGCATTAGAAATATAATTCTTTCAGGATGTCAAGAAAGTACATCAAAAATATACATTGACATGGGAAGACTTTCAAAATCCACTTCCACAAAGGAAGCAGTTGTTTGAATAAGCAATGGAAATGGGACTTTGTTATTACCATTATTATAATAGTCTATTCTGACTTATTAAATAAGCATTGGTCTCTAATTTTAGGTGAGTCATGAAAATATTTCATAAGTAGTTCCATTCAACCAAGTGTATTAAGCTCCTGTTTGGACGAGGTATGAAACTAGGTATCAGGCATACAACTTGAAAAAGGCAGTCCCTACCTGCAGGGCATTCCTGGGTTAGTAGGAAAGATAGAAATAAAAATAGGCTATCTAGAATATAATATGACATTATCACAGATATGTCTGAAATGTTTCTGGAACCAAGCCAAGAGAGACTGATTTCTCCAGAGTGATGGCAGAAAATCCGGAGTGGACCCAGGGGGAAGAGGTGGCGTTCAGCCTGGGTCATGAAGGATAGAGGAGGTTCATGCTGGGCCAGGGGAAAGAAATGGCACCCTACTGAGAGACCACCATGATCAAAGGCGCAGAGGTGTGTGAACATAGAAGCTGTCCTCTCCAAGGAGCCAGTAGTGACCTGTTGTGGGCTGGAGTCTTGGAAGTGAGAACAGGGGAGTGCCTGAAGGTGAGACTGACAGGTTCTCAACTCTGGAAGGCCTTGACACCATGCCCAGGAGTTTTTAATTTGTTTCATAAAAACATTTGAGGTTTTTAATCAGGGAAGGTGCACAATGAGATATGTGTTGAAAAACTAACTCTGAGGGTAGAGGTGAGGAAGGACTAGAGAACAAAGATCAGAGGGTGGGTGTCTAGTTGGAGGAATGTTCTTAACCCTTTTCTGGGGACACTGCCTTACTGGCTGGCTCTGGATTTTTACCAAATTAAGCTTTCATATCCTTCCAAGTCTTTTGGAAACACATGAACGAATGGGTCCAGAGGCCTCAAGAGGACACCTCCCTACTGCTATACCAGTGTTCTCAGAGCTTCTCTTAGGACATTAAAAGCCTGGCTGAGGTTGGGAGCCTCTGATCTCTAGCTACTAGACTGTCTGACTGCCAAGTTGTACTGATTGCTATTACTTTTTTGTTTCCTTTAAGTCTCATAAGACTCCTTACTACTTAGAGATCAGTGCCTGGATTAGAAAACTAAATAGCAAAGGGCAGGCATGGAAGAAGGAGAAATGGAACAGAAAAATTGTCAGTCTCTCATTCTCCCACTTTCTTTCCCATGGAATAGTCTAATGGGTTCCCTAGGAAAACGCACATGTACAAAAAGCTTGCACACAATTTTGAAGGTATTCTTAGATCCTCGGAGGTCTATTCTTGGAATCCAAATTTAAAACCTCTAACTATACTACCGAAATAAGTCAGACAAGAGACTGGAAGTAGTTATAGGAAATAGTAGTAGAAAAAGAAAGGAAAATGTTGGAGATATTCATCAAAGTTTAGAGCTCAAATGAAAATCAGAAGGAGGCAAGGATGACCTGAGATATCTAGCCTGGGTGCATGGAGAAACTGATCAGCCCAGAAGAAGACCAAGATGAGGGTGCGAGGAGAGCAAATCAAAACTTGCTTTTTGGGTATAAGGCATTTGAGATTCAAATACAGTGTCCAGGGCTCAGAAAAGCTATTGGTACTGACTCAATATATATATATTTATTTATTTTATATAATTCTTTCATCATTTTTCATTTTTGCACAAGGTATGCATTTTCATTTTGGTTATATTCCCCATACGGTTCCACCCCCCCTTATTTTGACCCTAATCCCTCCTCTCCCCCCACCCCCTGCAGTGTGTCTCTGGTTTATAGTTGCTTGTTGATTTTGATTTTTTCTTTATTATAATTTGACTCATTTTTTTTAATGCCTTCTTTGGGCACATGAAAAGCCACAATTTTAAGTAGAGGGATATAGCAATAAGGGCAAATGCTGCAAGACAGAGGTTGCAGGCTGGAAAAAAGAACACTAGGTTTAAAAATCATAAAGTTCATGTTGATTTGGGCCACAGGGTCTTAAGATCAGGGTCAGATAATTTCAGGTTGAGGAAGGAAAAGGAAGCTGAGCAGTATAAACAGGAGCAGAGAGAAATCACATTTTCCAGAACTCTGGCAACAGAGAGGAAGGATTTCAGGAGAGAGTCTGCAAGGAAACCTTCTCAGAGACTAGTTAAGTAAAAGGGAGAAGAGGAAATAAGCCAAAGGTGTACCCGGTGGGTTCTCTTTACTCTGTGAAGTAGAAACCTGGTCATCCACAAAATGAGGGAAGTGGAGATGACACTAGAGAACAGGAGCACAGGAAATGGGGAGATGTGCCTCAGAGGACATATCCATTTGGTAAGTGAACTCAGCAACTGGATCCAGTGCACAGGTATTCCGGCCTCATTGTGGTAGTTAGATAAGCAACTCACAGTGTTCAGAAAGCTGCGGGCATTTTCTCGATT